ATTAAATATTCTATTATACATACTATTGATACCTACTACTAATACAGATCTAGTTAGTTCAGATCTCAAAGAGATAAAAGCTCCAAAAATATCATTATCACAAGATGTGGTTAAATCTAAAATTTTATTATAAACATAGGTATATTCCTAAAGTGTTTTCTGAAAAGAAGTATCAAAAAAATAAAACATACATGAAAACAAAAAAGCAGTGGTCATTGTTGGGAAAAGGGGCTGAGGGTAAGGGGCAGGGGAGGTTTAACTCTTCATTCAAAACCTTCTACAGGGTGGGCAGCAGGTGGCATAGTGGTTAAGGTGCTAGACTCCCCACATGGCCGACCATGGTTCAAGTCTTGGATCCAGAGGCTTGAAACTCATGGTGTGTATGAGCGTGTGTGCCCAAAATCCAAAGAGGGGAAAGAGAGGAGAAAGGATTTGGCCTGGCCATCCCCCTCGGGAGTGATTTCTCCCTCTCCCTCTCACTGTCTCTCTCCACCTGTCTGGCTGAGCACACGCACCCTGTAGCTGATCCTTCCACAGGGTCAGCCCACAGCATGGTTGAGGTGGCTAGATCTTATATAGAGGACTACATGATTCAAGTCTCAGACCCGGCAGCTTGAAAGGTACCAAGTAGGTGTGCATGAGTACCCCAAATTCTCAAAGTGGAGACATGGAGGGATTATAGCATGACTATGACCCATAGGGGTGCTTTCTCATGTTTCCGCTGTCTCTAGCAAGTGGACGTGCCTTCTGGCAAAATTTTTTTTAATGAAATATAACCTTTCGGGGCTAACCCCACAACTCGAACCCCGGCCCGGTGGCTTGAAAAACACTGTGCCAGTGTGTGTACGTGCCCAAAACTCAGAGAGGGTGGAGACACAAGAGGGGACTGAAGCATGACCAGACCCCGTTGGCAGGTACCTTTCTCCTCCTCCTCTCTGTCTCTCTCTGTCTCTCTCTGGCTAGGACACACAACCTCTGGTAATAAGAGAAAAAACTTTGTCTTTAATTAAAACTTTGGGTTTATTTCACATGTAACTCCAGCAGAACACGCTGAGCCTAAGGAGCAACAGAAAGACACAGGAGCAGAGGCAGATAGTGAGGGCTTCGTGGATGGTGCTGAAGGCAGGAGGTGGAGTTTCCTGCAAAAAGTTCACGGAGTCCTTCAAGTGTGATCAAATACCAGCAGGTGACAGTGTCTATCAGTGAGTAATAGGCTACGAATGCTATTATTATTATTATTATTATTATTATTATTATTATTACTTTGAGAGCTTGTATTGCTATAGGGCATGAGCGCTCACCAGAGAGACAGAGACAAAAAGCGAGAAATCACTGCCCAGGGGGATGGCCACACTGTAATCCCTTCTCTTTCATTCTCCTCTGGGGATTTTGGGCACACATGCACAAACACCCAGCGTGAGCTTCAAGCTGCTGGGTCTGGGACTCGAACTGTGGTCGGCCACGTAGGAGTCCAGCGCCTTCACCACTACGTCATCTGCTAGCCCCAGATATAAATTCTCTAAATGGATAAAAAGGGGCAGAGGCTGATGAACCCAGCGACATGACTAAATGTAATTATGATTCCAGTAAGGTGCAGGGCCAGGCGTGGAGGAGACGCAGCAGGCTCCTCTCAGTCTCCCTACTCCTAAAGCAGATTGCAGTTGCCACATGGGATCTTTCACTTCAAGACCTGGGGTTTTTATTTCTTTCTTTCTTTTGAGAGGTTTTTGCTATAGGGCACATGCGCTTGCCAGAAAGACAAAGAGAGACAGAGAGACAGAAAGCAAGAAATCACCCCCCCCCCAGGGGGGATGGCCACACCGCAATCCCTTCCTCCTCCATTCTCCTCCTGGGATCTTGGGCACGCACGCACACGTGCCCAGCGTGAGTTTAAGCCGCCGGGTCCGGGACTCGAACCACAATTGACTACATGGGAGTCCAGCAACATAGCCATTACACCAACTGCTGGTCCCCAAATCCCTTAAACTTCTGAAGTACCATTTCCTTGCTTTCAAATATCACTTGAACAAGGCAGAGGAAATGGTTCCCAGGGAAGGTCAGAGGGAACGTGTCTTTAATGAACAGACTTCTAATGTTTTCAACTTGGAGCAGAAATACGTCTTCCCGAGAACTTTAAAATAGTTGGCTCACTTCATCAGTTATACCCTACCCTGGCAGCTGCCTATCTCTGATAAAACCCAACATTTAATAAAACTCAAGATGTCGAGAGTGTATAGAAAGAGTTCCCTTACGCACTGGCAGTCTAATTACTAAATAGATGTTTTACTGGACCTAGCACCAAGGACCTGTGTCTTTTACCAAAAAGCGCCTACCCGAACCAACAGCTTATGGGTAGTCCAAAATGAAACTAACCTAAATGTGGCCGAGGGACCTGGCTTCCATGCCGATCACCCAGGGTTACCCCCAGAGGGTTCTGTGACTCTCTACCTGAAAATGGACACTTGGGGTGGGTCTAGAAACTCACACCAACGATCACTGAGCACAGCCCAGGAAAGGCCCGGAGGCTGCCTCGCTCCGGGGTACCTGTTTCATCCGGGGAGCTCGGGGAGGCACTGTCCTGGGACAGCGTGGTCCAGCTTGACTCCTCGTCACTCGGTGCCAAGTTCTGGATCCGGTGGAGGGCGCAGTCCGTTTTGGCGCCCGTTTTAGGGTGGTCCTTTTTGGTCTCTGGACTGGAGGATACGGTGGGTCCTTGGCCATCCTCGGGGCTGGTCTGGGGCTTGTGGGGTTTCTCCAGCGCCAAGTCGCCGTTGCCAAAGACAGTGGAAGCCTGGCTCTGGCCTGCCTGCAACTTCTCTTCGGCCACCCCAGGGCAGCCGCCTAGGTCCGGCTGGAGCTCCCTGGCCGACGTCTCCAGGTCTACATAGTAATCCAGGAAGCTCTTGGTCCTCCTGGGCTGGGAGGGTACAATCCCGCAGCCCGAGGACTCCTGCGGGTGGTGCTCTTTGCCCTCTAACTTCTCAGAAGCGACGTTGAGGCCAGCTGCGGGGCTGGCGTTTTTGTTGGGGTCCTGCTGCCCCTGTTCTGCAGCCTTCCGGAGCTGGTTCTCCCCGTTCTTCACCAGCTTGATGTTGGCAGAGCCACTTCCTAGCAGGGGTTGCGTGGCTGGGTCTGAGAGGCCCATGGCCGCCTGGATGTTAGTTAGCGCGTATTTTTTCCTGCATTTCGGGGGGGTGCCGTTCTTGGACTCTGTGTGTTTGATTTCGGCGTTCAGCAGTTCATTGTGGGAGGAGCGGAGGTGAAGGGTGTTCGGTGGTGTGGCCGGGCTGTTCCGATTGGCGACGTCTGTGGTTCCACTGCTGGCCATAAACACCGCCAAGGTGTCCACACCTGAGTCAGCTGGAAGGAGAGAAAACGGGCCATCAGATGCCATCGCCCATTCTTAGAGAACAGATGTGTTTATTTCACCCTGCATTCATCTATTAAATAAGAACAAATAAAGTGTATAATATGGATGCCCCAAAGTCAATTTATCAGAAAGCGAGGAAGTCGGAAGCTCTGCGTTCTACTTAACAGCCCTCCTCTGAATTCATGCAAAAGCGTTTTCTTCTGGTACCTGGTCTTCATTTTCCACAACCTTAAAGATCATCCCCTTTCCAGACATTTCTATCCTATTTCTAGTCTGTTGTTTCTCAGGCAACAAAATAAAATTGCTCACAACTCCTCCGGGGTTCTGACTTTCTTAATTAACCCAGAAGGGCATTCCCTTTTCTTTTTTTCTTTTTTTTGGAGAGGTTTTTGCTATAGGGCGCATGCACTCTCCAGATAGACAGACAGAGACAGAGAGACAGAAAGCAAGAAATCACCCCCCAGGGGAGATGGTCACATCGCAATCCCTTCTCCTCCGTTCTCCTCTTGGGATCTTGGGCACGCACGCACACGTGCCCGGTGTGAGTTTAAGCCACCGGGTCCGGGACGCGAACCACGGTTGACTACATGGGCGTCCAGCGACATAGCCATTACACTAACTGCTGGTCCTGGCATTTCCTTTTCAAGGGTAGGCTCTATGCATCCTAGGTCATTTTTCTCAACTGCGTATAGAAATAGTTTCGAGTGCTTGGAAAACTCAGCCTCCATCAGAGTTGGCTACTGTTGTGGTGAACAGTTTGGATCTGGGCTTAGTGCTTGCACTAAATAGACATTTGGAAGAAATGGCTCCAGGTCTCCAGAAAACACACACGAACAACTGTTCCCCATCATGTAGCACTGGGCCCTGGGCTACGGTGACCATCAGAGCCCCCAAAGAAGTCGGAACGGGTTCCACTGAGTTAGAGACAGACGCGGCTGGTGGGAGGTGTCAGCTCCCCTGCAGAACACCGAGGAAACGACCTGCGGGTTGTGAGCAGCTCAAACATTGCTCGCACCGCAGTGACTTCTCCCCTATGCCTCTTGCTAAGAAGAAAGGTTTCTCAGACCAGAAGGGAATCAAATTCATCAGCAAGCATTCCTCGGGTCTCAGATTTCTCAGCCCATGAGGAATGACCACTTTCTTATCTGATCCCTGGCCCTCTGCAGAGACACCAGTGATCAGCAAAGGAGCCCCAGCTCAGCTCCTGACGTTCCTCAGACTCTATTCAGACAACTCCCCTGTCGTCACCAGGCAAAACAGGGGTTTTACTTTTTAGTTTTTCTTTTTCTTTTCTTTTTTTAAAAAGTTTTTGTTTTAGGGCATGTGCGCTTGCCAGAGAGGTGGGGTGTGTGTGCGTGTGTGTGAAATCGCCTTCCAGGGCAGGTGGCCACACCACAATCCCTTCTCCTCCATTCTGCTCTTGGGATTTGGCGCACGGACGCACACACACCCAGCATGAGTTTTAAGTTGCCTGGTCTGGGACTCGAACTGTGCAGTAGGCTGTATGAGATCCAGCACCCCAACCTCTGTGCTGCGTGGTGACCCCTCTTCTGCTTTTTTTTTTTTTTTTTTAAGGTTTTTGGCACAAGGCATATGAACTTGCCAGAGAGAAACTGAGAGAGACTGTGAGAGGGAAAGTGAGAAGTCACGCCCCTCAGTGGGATGGCCACACCACAATCCCTTTTCCATCATTCCCCTCCTGAGATTTGGGGCGCACACACACATATGCAGAGAGCATGATTTTCAGGCTGCCAAGTCCAGGACTCGATCCATGGTCAGCCATGTGGGAGTTCAGCACCATAACCACTACACCACCTGCTGGACCCCCTTATGATTTTTTTTTTTAAACAAACTTTTTACCAAGATAAAATTCACATGCTATCAAACTCACTGTTTTTACCATTATAACTACAATATGCAAACTGTACACCCTCCAGCTGTAAAATTGCTTTGAGCATATTCAAATGTTTCACGCCCATCACTGAGCAACCCTGCACGTTCATGACCTCCAGGGCAGGGGTCCTCAGAGGAGAAGAGGGTGAGCGTTCCTCCCTGCTCCAGAGCTGAGAGTTAGGTTCCCATCAAATACTGAAGTCAGGCAATTTTGGAAGTTGGTCACTTAATCTACACCTCCTTGTGCTTCTAGGAGCTGGGCGACATATATATATATTTGCCGTGGAATGACCATATGGCCCGCAGGACAGGGAAAGGCAGGACCAGCAGTTGACGTAATGGCTATGTTGCTGGACTCCCATGTAGTTGATCGCGGTTCGAGTCCCGGACCCAGTGGCTGAAACTCACGCTGGGCGCATGTGCATGTGTGCCCAAGATCCCGAGAGGAGAATGGAGGAGAAGGGATTGTGGCGTAGACATCCCCCTGGGGGGTGATTTCTCACTTTCTATCTCTTTGTCTCTCTCTGTCTTTCTGGCGAGCGCACGTGCCCTATAGCAAAAAACTCTTAAAAAAAAAAGAGAGAGAGAAAGGAAAACCAAAGGACAGGGAAAGGCTGTAACCCGAGGTGCTCAGCCCTCGGGTCCCATTCCTTAAAGTTCCTATTTATAAGGATTCCTGCTTACCCAGCACCCCACCTTAGCTTTTGGACCTCATTTTAGAGAATCTAATTGTTTCTTCTTTTGAAAAAATATTCTGACAATCTTGGCCGCTCCTACTATTTTTTTTTTTGAAAAAAGAATTATTTTATTTAGCTATTTATTTTCTTATTTACTTATTTTAATTTTACGAGAGAGAGAGAGAGAGAGAGAGAAGGAAAATGAGAAAGCAAGCCGCCAGGTCTGGGATTTGAACTATGGTCGACCATGTGGGAGTCCAGGGCTTTTAACCTCCATCCTCCATGCCACCTGCCGGCCCTTATAGAAAACAGATGTTACAATTTATAATTCAACTCACATGAGTGGTACTTGATATGAGAAGGCCCCACCTCGAACCCCCACCAAATTTTCCCTGAGATACATATTCATAGCATACACACCTCAGAGGAAGTTATTTTTAACTCAGATATTTAGAGTGACATGAAAAAGTGGAAATCTACTAGCTTGCAAAAAGATAAGGCAAAAAAATTTCCATGAGGTGGTTTTCTGGTGTTGGTAGCATATTCTAGCAATGTTAGTAAGGGGACTTTTTCACTCGCTTTCTTTATAGGAATAAACAATTTCAGAAAGAGTATCATGAGAATTTCTACATGATACATATATATTAGTTTCTTTTTTCTTTTTAACGTTTTTGTACTCACTGGAGAGAAACAAAGAGAGACAGAGAGAGGGAAAGTGAGAAATCACTCACCCCCAGAGGGGATGGCCACACTGCAATCCCTTCTCCTCCATCCTCCTGGGATCTTCGGCACCCAGGTACACACTCCCAGCTCTAGTTTCAATCTGGAGGGTCTGAGACTCGAACCTCAGTCAGCCATGTGGGAGTCTAGCACTTTAACCACCATGCCCACCGTTGACCCTGATGATTTTAATATTTAAATAGCTGTATGTCCTACCTGTGGCAGATTAAACTTTTAGCCATGTCCTCACAAGTTTTTGGAATCCCATCACCCTCTCGGTAGCTGTGTAACTCCTCAGCTTGCTAGAAATCATGGTGGGAACAGTGACAGGGACAGAGCTGAGTTAGAATAAGACCATCCCATACAAGTGGGATGCATAAATACAACTCTGAATGTCCTGCTTTTTGTGTGTCTTTTTTTTTTAAGAATCATTTTACTTATCTTTATTTATCCACTTATTTGTTTATTTTTTTAATTTGACCAGACAGGGAGAGAGAGAGAGAGAAACAGAGAGAGAGAGAAATTGAGAAAGTAAGCCACCAGGTCCGGGACTTGAACCTCAGTCGGCCACATGGGAGTCCAGCGCCCTTAAGCACCATGCCACCTGCCGGCCCATGTATGTGCTGTTTTTATGCATAAAAGCCTGAACAGAGCTTGAGTGTGACTTAGGCAGTCAACCTAAAACGGTCAGTCCCGGAACAAGAGAGTCAGGTGAATCTCCAAGTCCGCGGGTGCCTCCCAGCGCTCGTTTATCAGCTCGGGCGTCATCTGTGCTCAAGGCTCACGGTGCAGCAGGTGGTGAGCAAAGCCTGGAGAGATCGAAACTGCCAGAAGGAGACCCCGAAAGTGAAAGGCCATGCCGTGAGGCACCAGGGCACAGGCCTCAGACAAAGGCCAGGACGGGAACAGCTCCGTACTGGCTGCTGAGTTAGCACACCTGGCCCTTCCTTTCCTTGTCTAAAATGGTACCTAACATGTGTGAGGGTCAAAACGAGAGGCCTGCAGGTTTGGGCGTGGCATGGAGCGATCGCTGTGGGCTCCCCTCATCGTTTCATGCCCAAGTGACAGAGCACGGGGCTGCAGAGAGGGCCCCCAGAGTGAGCAGCACCCAACTTGGTCTGAGCAATAGCCATTTCTTATAATGCAGGAATTAAACAGACGAGAAGGGCCCAAGAGGTTGGGTCTATGGGGGTTTAATTATGGAGGAAAAAAAAAAAAAAGACACCCCTCATGTTTAAGAGAAGGTAAGTTTAGGTCTCTTTTTTTGAGAGAGAGATTCTTACTGTAGGGCACATGCTTGCCCGAGAGACACAGAGAACAGAAAGCAAGAACTCACTCCCTACGGGGGTTGGCCACATCACAATCCCTTGTCTTGGGATTTTGGGCATACACGCACACACCCCTGGTGTGAGTTTAAGCTGCCGGATCCCGGACTCGAACAGTGGCCAACTACATGGGACTCTAGCAATGTAACCATTATGCCATCTGCTGGCCCCTAGGCTTCATTTTGTTTTATTTTGAAGAGGTTTTTGCTATAGGGTGCGTGCACTCACCAGAAAGACAGAGAGAGATAGAGAGACATAAAGTGAGAAATCACCCCCCAGAAGGGATGGTCACGCCGCAATCCCTTCTCCTCCATTCCCCTCTCGGGATCTTGGGCACGCACGCACACGCGCCCGGCATGAGTTTAAGCCACCAGG